AGGAAGGAAGGAAGGAAGGAAGGAAGGAAGGAAGGAAGGAAGGAAGGGAGCCGGCTGGAAGAAGGCCAAGGCTGGTGGGAAGGAGGCTGCCTCCCAGAGGGCCCCGGGCCCCACTTCGTGCCACGAAGAATCCTCCGCCTGCCAATCCTTCCCACCCCCCCACCCCACCCCCCCTTGGCAGACAGCTGAATGCCAGGCTCCCACGCAGGGGTAGTGCTTGCAACGGCAGCCGTAGAGCATCCAAAGCCGCAGGCCTGGGAAGGGCCCGGCCAGGACCCTCCCGCTGACCCCCGCCTGGCTCCTCTCCCCCAGCAGGCACCATCAGGGAGTTGCACAGGGAGAGCGGGGGCAGGGGGCCCTCTATTTTTAGCCCCCCTGCAGAGGCACCGAGAAGCCTCCAAATTTGTGCTCCGAAGCCCATTAAGCTTCAGAACAAACTGTTCGAACACGTCTTCACCACCAGCCGCCAGGACCATCTGTGGCTCTGAATGCAGATGCCGCTTCGTGAGCTGCCTTGAAGGAGGGAGCGCCCCCCCCGGCCCCCCTAAAGCAGCCCCCCACCCAGGCAGGCACTGACCCATTGCATCCCCCAACGCAGCAGGAAATGGCACCCCCAGAGGACGGGACGGGGGGGCGGGGAGGCGAGCAAGAGTCTCGCTGGGTCTGGCCAAGGCAGCCCTGAGCTGGAACACCAGAGAAACCGGGGGGGGGGGGGGGGGGCCCCCCCCCCCCCCCCCCCCCCCCTGCCTTTCCCCCGGCGGGGGCGGCCCCGCCCCACCCCCCGCACAGAACCCTCCCTAGCTGCATCTGCCCCCCCCTCCCCAGCCTCCCCCCCCCGCAGCTCCTCCCTCAAATAGGAGGGGGAGGGGCCCTGGAAGCAGGGAAGAGGAAGCTCCCCCCTCCTTCCACCTGCTGCCTGGGGACACTTGGGGTCCAAGTCACGCCCTGTGGAAGGCGTGGCAGAGGGAGGGAGGGGATCTCAGCCCGGCCAGGGGAGGAGAGCTGGAGGGGGGGGAGGAGCAGTCTCTCCCCCCTCCCAGAACAGCTGCAATCAAGACCACCACCCCTTTGCCTAACAAATGGCGTCTATTCTGAGGAAAAGTGCTTACAGGCGCAGAAAAAGCAGCTCCTTTAATTGAAGCACAGCTAGCAGTTTAATGAAGCCATAAAGAGGATGTAAGCAGGGGCAGGAAGCCGGAGGGGGGGGGGGGCCCGGGACAGGGGGGGGGGGGGGGGGCGTTCTGGCCCAAAGCCAGAGCCGCGGGGGGGGGGGCAGTTTGGAGCAGTGGAAACGGTCGCCCCCAGAGCTGCCCGCGGTCTGACCTCTTGGCCCCACGGGGGGCTGGGCAGGGAGACAAAGGGAGAGGACCCCTGAAAAGAGCTCGGCCTGCGGCCCCCTCCGGTTGGGGCCCCTTGGTGCTCTTGGCCCCGCGTGGCTGGAGCGAGTCTACAAAAGGCGTTCTGGGCCCATCCACATGGCTCAGCCCCACTTAGGAAAACCCCTTTAAGTGGGGGCTTAAAGGGAGAGGCTGCACCCAGGCAGCTCCGGCCAACCGGGGCACAGCCAGAGGCCTTTTGTGCTTTGTGCCCGCCTGGGTGCCCCCGAGCTCTGCAGCCCTGCTCTGAAGTGGCCCTGGGCAGCACCAAGACCGGCCTCACCCGCTCACCTTGGGGCTAGTTGGCCCTTCTGAATGCGAGACCCCTCGCGCTGCCCCCCCCCGCCCCGTGTGTGCGTGTGTGCGTGTGTGTATGTGTCTCGTCTGGGTCAGGCTGCTTGGTCCTCTTCCCTCCGCCCTGCCTGCCCTGGGCGAAGCAGAATCCACAGGTGCGCCCCCCTCCCCCCCCCCGAGCTGCGGAGTGCAAGGGAAGGGCTGGAAGGGGATCGTTTTTCTGCCTTTCTTCGGGGCGTCAGGCAGGCTCTGGGGTTCCGTAAACGCCGCCTCCTCCTCCGTTAGCCACGCATGTCAGCCTCGACTGATGTGTTTACACACAATACCTGCAATTTGTTCCCAGCTCATTCAAAAGGCTCCTTTGTCTCCTGCTCCTCCTCCTCCAGGCTGCTCTGGGGTTTATTCCGTGTCCTCTGCTTCCTTTTGTTGCCATCACTCAGTTACTTCATTATTTTTATGTTCCAGGATTCTTTTAAACTCCTACAAGAAAGCTATAAACGGAAACATTATTTTCAGGGCTAATGCTAGTTAAACAAATAGCCTGTTGCTTCCTCGGAGGAAAACTCCCGGGCTACAGCCCAGCCCTGAAATAGCTGGCAAGCAGAGGACCCATTTGCAGCAGCCAAAGGGACCCCTTAAGGGCAGCCAGCTGGGCCCCAGGCCTGCGCGGATTCTCCAGAATAGCTACAGATTCAGGAATTGCTGGCATTCTTGGCTGTTCTCTTCCCCTCGGGGGGGGACGGACGGGGGAGGCTCACCAAAGACAGGGGGGCTCCGCCGCCAGCCGCTGAGATAAACTCCGTTGACAAAAGAGCCCCTGGGGACACCTGGCTTCAACGAGGCAGCCCAGTGCTCGGTCGCCTGCTCCCCCGGAAGCCCCCCCCCCCCCCCCAGGACTGACCGGTGACCCTTTCCGGGCTCAGGCGAGCAGCTTCCCGCCCAGGGAGGTGCCCTTCGCTGTGCTGGAGGGGCATTTTTGCACGGGAACTGCTCCTCCGCAGCGATGGGGAGCAGAGCAAGGACCCACCCCCAGGTTGAGATGAAGGAGCCCCAGCGTGGGTGGGAAGAACCCCAGCAGAACCCCCCCCTCCAATATTCCTTAGGACGCCTGACCCAGCCCTCAAAAGAAACCAAGCGAGGCCCGTCTCCAAGATCCAAAGTCCTTTATTTGGCGTCAGTCCAAGAGAGCTGCCCCCCTCGGCTCCTGGCGGCTGCACACCTGTCTCTTTCACACCAAGACACGCCCCCCACCCCCACCCCCACCCCCAGTGGTTGTGCATTAGGGCTCCGGCAGCTCCGGTGGGGGAAGAGCCATCGTCCACAGAAGAAAACCTGCTTGCAGATCTGTTTTCCATGCTGCTGCTGAAGCCCTGGAGGAGGAAGAGGAGGAGAGAGGGCAGCTGAAGGAAATCTGGGTCTGCTGTCCCCCACTCAGGCCCCCTCCCCTCCAGACCCTCAAGCCCTGCCTGGCTTTGGAAGAGCACCTGGCCGGGCGGGGGGGGGAGGGGGGGCGTTTCCCCAGTCCTGCTAAAACGTGCAGGCAGGCAAAGCAAGAGGACGTTTGCCGAGGCTGAGCGGTTCCCAGCCGGCTTCTTAACTGGCTCTCAATGAGCCCCCTGGCCAGCGGAGCGGAGCAGAGCAACCTACAAAAGGCTCCAGCTGGACAAAGAGGCGGCCAAAACAAAGGTAGTGAGGAGGAGGAGGAGGAGGAGGAATAGAAGGTAGAATAACAGGAGTTGGAAGGGGCCTCGGAGGTCTTCTAGTCCAACCCACGGCTCAGGCAGGAAACCCTGCACCATTCCAGACAAGGGGTGGCCCAGCCTCTTCTTCTGAGCGGCTTCCAGGGCTGGAGCACCCGCAACTTCTGGGGGGCAAGTCCCTCCCCAGATTCACGGCTCTAGGCAGGAGGGACGGATTACCTTACTCTTTTCCCAGGTACTTCATCATGATGCTGGTCACGTCGTCTTCTCTCCCTTCCGCCTCGGACCGTGGGTGGACCTTCAGCCCTTCCGAGCTTCCTCTGCCCACACACCCTTCCCCTTCCTGCCGTGGGACCGGGGGCCGGCACTTGACACTGTCGGCGCTCTTGGAGGAGCCCACGGAGCCGGAAGAGGAGTCGGAGGAGTCGGAGAGGTGGCCGGGCTCCTCCTTCGCTTTCGGCTGTGGGGACAAAACGGTCTTCATCTCAGACAAGAAAGTGCGCTGAGGCGGGGCGGCCTGGTCTTCAAAATGGACGCTGAGGGGCCGCTGCCCGTCCTTCCTCTCCTTGGGGCCTCTGGACAGGCTGCTGGTGGAGTGAGCCTTCCGGATGGCCGGCAGGAAGTCATCCAAGTCAGGGTTGGTTTTCCGCTCATAACTCAGGGTTGGTATTTTCCAAGAAAAGGGATCCTTCCCTTCCCCCGCGATCTCCGCCAGCCTCTTGCTTTGGAGCGCCAGTGGTTCCTTCCCGAAATCCAGGCCCCCTTCCAAGGGGGGCTCCAGGCAGCTCCTCCACGGCCCTGGCTGCGATGGGCTCAGCACGTCTCCGCCCAGGATTGGAGAGGCCACTTTGGCGCTGGGGTCGGCTGGGTTCTGCACCAGGGAGTCATAGGAGCCAAACCTGGAGGCCCCTTTCAGGACCGGGGAGAGGGATGGCCGCACCCCACAATCCGATGAGAGGCTCCTCAAACTGGAGGAGCGAAGCAGGTCAACTCCGGGCTCTGCCCCAAGGCCACCCAGGCGGATGGGAAAGTCTTCGTGGTCCTTCAGGGTCCTGCATCTCCGTAGGACGGGAGCCCCGGCCGTTTGGTAGATGGGCAAGGAGGAGGAGGAGGAGGAGGCGGCCTCCTCCAGAGGCTCCTTGTCTGTCAGCCGCTTCCTCCGCAGCTCCTCCACGTACTTGGAGAGCGCAGAAGACGAGGGCCACATCTTCTCCTCGGCCAAAGGAGAGAGGCCCCTGCTGGCGGGTGGAGGCGAAGGGACGTTCTCCTCGGCTGCGGCAGAAGAGGACATGGGCCTCCGGCCCTCTGACTTGGGGGGGGCTGCCGGGTCCCTCTTTGGGCCTCCCGTAGTCCCGCCTCAGAGATCCAGCGGAAGGGCCTTCCGGGCCTCCTCCTCCGTAGTCCTTCCTTTCCGCACTCGGCCACGCCATCGGCTGCCAGCTTTTCCCCTGGTCTGTGTTCACCCTGCGGGGGAAAAGTGCAAGGAGAAACGCTGAGCCACGGCGTCGCCCCACAGCCCCCCGGGTCCCACAAGAGGTCCGTCCACCGTTCCACTTGACCTTGAGACGGGCGGCGCTGCTTCCTCTCGAGAGCTTCTGCCAGCCAGAGAGGGAAAAGCAGCCGGACGGGGATCGCCGTCCCCCTTGCAAGGGCCTGGAGGGTGGGGATCCCAAACTGGGTTGGCCAGGGAGGAGGGCTATTCCTTCTCCTTTGCCCCTGTGCTGGGGGGGGGGGGGGGAAGGGCCCCCCCCCCCCGAGAGCCAGAATGATCACAGCCTCTCCAATGGAGGAAGGAAGTGAGGAAGGCCCTGCTGAAAAAAGGGCCCCTTTCTTTCCCCTAATTCCTGCTCTGTTTTGAGAAAGACCCCTTTGAACAACATTCAGCTTGGCAGTCATCAACCCTTCTGGCTAAGGAGAATGGATGCCGTTGCCATAGCAACGTTACACAGCCTGTAATCTGCAGAGTCAAGACCTCCGCGAGGTTGACCTGAAATGAAATCTACCCAGAGGGGCCTCTGAAGACGACCCCCCCCCCCCCCCCCCCCAGGAAGGCTGCAGAGCTTGGGAGGAGGGCCCTGGGCAAAGCAGC